TGATAAATGTGCTAAATATGGAATCTCTTCTAAAACACAGCGTAGACATAAATTTAATGGGAATGTAAATGACAGTGACCTACTATTGCTAACTGAAACACAACGTCTTCGACAAACTGATGACAGGGAAATCAGAAACAATTTACCCTATACATTACAGAGGCAAGATCATGCTTTTGACAAATTTTGTAGTTTAGCTCCTTGTATGAAAAGCATTATGTTCAAATTAGACAACATGAATATTTTTCAGTTCTAAATGCAGTTAAGTTTGTTGCTCTTGACACAAACACAGGCAGTTTAAACAATTGATTGTTGTGCTGTATAGAATTTACATTTACATTTTGTGGAGGGCATTCAATATCTTCTTCTTAGTGATAATACTTGGTGATTTTAACATAAACTACTTCAGTAATGATGACAAATTCTCTTAACTATGTAATGCACAAGTTGTTCAGAGTCCTTAATTTATTTCTTCTGGAAGTTTATTAGACCATGTTTATGTGAAATCAATGGCATTGCGGATGGTTGAACACTCAGTAATTTCATGTTACTATTCTGATAATGAGGCTGTTAAAGTGAGAATTAGTGTACACTCATTAGATGTAGTGTAAGTATAATGTTATTGCACATGCACGCATCAATGATAAAATATTGATGAAAAAATTCTTTTCACAGCAAGTATTTCAAATACTTGTTGGTAAGCTATGCATTGTCTAAGAGTTATGTTATCTTGACAATAGCTGACAAAAAATGAGAGTAATGGACCGCTGTTATTTTGCGTGATATCATTAAGCTGTTTTTCTGTTAGTAATTTCCGCAGACATGTCCGGAGATAAACCTAATGATTAATCGAACCAATCACGAAAAACTACGCGGTTTTTTCTTAAATCAATCCTTGTGTAACTTATCGGATGCGGGTTAAAAAGGAAAAAGGACAATGGGAATTGAGAGAGAGTTGAGTGGAAGCGAACGTGTTTGTTGTAAAACTAAGAGATCGTGGTTTATGTTGGAATAAAACGTGGAAATCTACTTTATCGTGACTTGTTGGAGAGCACTGTTCTTGGAGGCGAACAAATCTCCAAACCTGGCACCTCCGACGGGACATTTGGACAAGCAAACTGCTGAAGTATAATTTTGTCCTGTACTTTCGTCAAGGGAGGAAACAATGACAACTGTAAAAGCAATCTGGAAACCAAACTTACACAATTGGACATTAACGTGAAGAAAACTAACGACGTCATTGAGAGCCAAAACTCACAGGCTACTGAGCGACATCTACAAACTTTAAAGGCAATCTCGGACACTGTGAATCATTTGCGACTTGAGGTCGAAGTGAAAAAAATTGAATCGAAAGTAAACAGCGATGCAATTCAAACTTGGAATGACGATGTAGACTCTAAACTACAAGCAGCGGACGTCGAAATCGGGAGGATACGTAAATGGGTACGCGATCGCGAAAAAGAAGCAGAGATAAACGCGAAGAAGGAACAGCTGCAATTCGAAGAAGAAATCCAAAAGATGAAGCTGCAACTAAAAGCGGACCAACTAGCCAAGACGAAAAGCCAAAACGAAGGAGTCGGTCAAGGCTTATCTTCTTGTGGTGTGCAAGCAAAACTACCAAAACTTGTGATTACAAAATTCGATGGTTCCCATATGGATTGGCCACGATTTTGGGGACAACTTTCGGAGAATACTGACAAGACAAGTGTCGCGCCGATCTCCAAATTCACTTATTTACGAGAGTTGGTCACCCTAAAGGTTAGCCGGACGATCGAAGCCTGGTTAACTAAAACATGTTTGATTCAAGGTATTACCTTCACTGCAGAGGGGTATATCCACGCAAAGAGCATATTGAAGGGGAAGTTCGGCAAGGACTCGGAAATAATCAAGGCTTACGCAAAGGAGATACTCGAACTTCCTACCCTGACGGGCACAAATCCCAAAGCTATAAGCGATTTCAGCGAGAAACTAACCTATTGTGTGCAAGCTTTACAAATGCTAAACAAGCTAGAGCAAGTAAACGGAGCTACTTTGATAACCCTTGACAAATTACCTGGGATTCGTGGGGACCTTGTGCGTACGGACCCGGAATGGGAGAAAAAGGATTTCGCGAAACACAGCCAGGCCATCCGTTTGTGGACAAGAAGAAATCCTGTCGATAAGAAATCAAATGAGAGAGATTCGGGTGAACGGCGAATTCAGAAGTGGGATCAATCACGCAAACTCTACCAAGCGCGTGGGCAAGATTTCAATCCCAAAGAATGCGTTTACTGTGGGGATGTGAGTCACAAACCATTGAACTGTCTAAAGATTACTAAAATCGAAGAAAGAAGAGCAAAACTAGCGCAGAAGAATTTGTGCTTTAATTGTGCCACACCTAACCATCGCGCCGCGGAATGTTTTAGCAAAGCCACGTGTCAGCATTGCAAAAAACGACATCACACGTCAATATGCGACCGTAGCCTTACACCCAAAGATGGAAGGAAGGATAAAAATACCCTGATGGCCGCAAGCGGAAGTAACGAAGGAATATTACCAATAATCCCAATCAAAGTTGACGGGATAATTTGTTGTGCATTAATTGATACTGGCGCCAGAAGTTCTTACGCTTCAGGGAAGCTAATAGATCTGCTCAAGAAGAAGCCCTGTGAGACGAAAACAAGACGAGTGGATATGCTTATAAGTTCCAAAGTAACAAAGCTGGAAATGTACGATACACTAGTTGAATCATTGGACAGGGATTTCAGCATGAGTGTTAAACTTACTAAGGTTCACAAAGGAGAACTGTTAACTGTCGATAATCCGCACTATCAACAGTTAATCGACAGCTACAGTCATTTAAGAGGAGTCAAGACTGAAGATTTAGACTCAAAGGAAGAACTTCCCGTGCACGTGGTACTAGGGAGTGGCGAATATGCACGAATCAAAACCGAAACTAAACCGCACATTGGCAGAGATGGAGAACCAATAGCTGAGAAAACAAAACTGGGGTGGTTCATGTCGCCGGGACGAGAATTCGACCGTAATTGCATGATGTTAACTCAAACTAGTCAAACTGATTATGAAGAACTTTGTTGTCTGGATGTCCTAGGTTTAGCAGATTCTTCAGAGCACGATCAACTAGCCGTCTACCGCGAGTTTAAGGAGCAGCTGGTACACGACGAGCTGCATAGTCCCCAGACTCCCCAACCATGGTGAGGAAATCACCCCCCTTTACCCTCTAACAAGCAAGGAAGTCTTCGCCGTCTGACTAACCTGAACAAGAAACTTGAGCGTCATGGTTTGACAGCTGAGTAAGATCAAATCATTCAAGAACAGAAGCAACAAGGGATCATTGAAGACTGCCCTCTTGAGCCTACTGGAACTGACTTCTACATTCCTCACAAACCTGTAATACGCGAAGAGGCTGCGAGCACTAAACTACGAGTAGTGTACAATGCCTCAGCCAGAGCTCACGCAAGCGCTCCATCTTTGAACAAATGTTTATACCCCGGGCCCCTGCTACAAAACAAGTTATGGGACGTCTTGGTTCAGCAACGTTTTCACCCTGTAACGATATTCGGCGACATCCAGAAAGCCTTCTTACAGATACGAATCAAGGAAAATGAGCGTGACGCACTTCGTTTCCACTGGCGTATGAACGAACACTCTAATTTAGAGACTCACAGATTCACACGTGCTTTATTCGGTTTGACTTGCTCGCCTTTTCTTCTAGGGGGAGTCATCGAACAGCATTTGCAGTCATGGGAGAGCAAATTGCCGGAAGTTGTTGCTGCACTGCGCAAGAGTTTATACGTGAACGACGTGCTGAATGGTGGTCAGACGGCCGAAGAAGCACGAAAACGCAAGAACACTGCCATTGAGGTATTTAGTGATGCAAAGTTTGTACTACACAAGTGGAACTCCAACGTTGCCGAATTAGAAGAGACACATGAACGAGAAAATGTGGACAGTGAGCTATCATTCGCCAAGCAGCAGTTAGGAGTGCAGACGAGTGAATCTAAGGTACTTGGGTTGCTATGGAATAAGCAATTACACAGATTGACTGTGACCTTTCCTCAAGGTGAGACACCAGCAACCAAGAGAGAACTGCTGAAGAAGTTAGCTAAAGTCTATGACCCTCTGGGTTTGACAACACCATTCACGTTACAAGGGAAGTTGATTTACCGAGACATCTGAGACCAGAAACTACCATGGGATGCACAACTTACTAGAAACCTTACTGAGAGAGTGAAGAAGTGGGAACAGACCCTACCGACTGGTGTCACGGTGCCACGCCCTGTGATGAACTTTAGAGAACCTGTGATAAGTCTGGAGTTACACGCGAGTCTATCTTTTTGTCGAGGGTCGAGGGTTCCATGTCGAGGGTCGAAGGTCGAGGGTAACATTTTTTTTTCCCAATTTTTTTTTTTTTAAAGGTAATAATCGATGCAACCAATGTCATTAAAAGAAATAAGAAGAATTTAAAAAACAAATGGCGCATGAACTTCTTCTAGTTGCTGGTTGGGGAGGAGGGGGGGGGGGTTGGAATAGAGAAAAGCTCCGGGACATCCCAATTTGTTTTCATTACTTTTATAACACTCCGGAAACCCATACCAGAACACGTTACTTGAAAACACTGATTTAAAAAAAAATGTTGTAAACAAAATTTAAAATGTCGTAAAACAAGAATGAGTGCGTTGAATTACGAATTTCTGGTCCAACCAACAAGAATGGAAGGAAAAAACTCTAATTGCGTCGTAAAATGTGTCATAAACGAACAATGCAATCGTTGTGTGTTTCCACTTTTGTCACCGTCGTAGAGATGTTGAGAGACAACAGAAAGAAACTCTCCTTCTTAATAAGGAATATCGATATCTCTAATCTCTGTGAAGAGCGATCACTGTATCTAAACTTTTCCCAACCCATACCATCTTCTTTAGTACTAAGACTTCCAGTAGGGAAGAGAAAAAAACATACGCTGACGCTGTCAAAGGTAGCGCTTCCCCGCTTCGCAATACATGGTGGAGACGCCTTCAGGAAGAACAGAGGAGGAGACAATTTTCATTGCCATGAAAAGATCTGTTGAGGAGTTAAAGGTAGTTTCTCAATTTTGCAAGGCACTTTGGACACATGTTTAACAGATAAATGACCTCTATGTATCTTTTTTCAGGATTCCGATAGCGATGAAGAGCTAAGCGTTTGCACTCGTGGATTCCAAGAAACGGATGAAAGCAGCAAGGTAATTTCGCCAAAAAAATTGCTTATTTCAAGTAAAGAAGCTGTTCGAAAATCACCGCTACTATTGAGCTAGAAGCTGTGACTATCTAGACCAAACAACTAGTTTTTGTCTGACCGCTAGTTTATTTTTACAGCGCCAGGGAATACAGAAATACGAGATACACTCGTCATCAGAAGAAGAGTATTGCCCAGGAAAGCCTCTCCTTCCCACTGGTTCCTTCAGCTGCAAAACGGTGAGTAAGAACTTATACTCCCTGTTTATATAAGAATCGCTATGAGATAGTAGTGATCTTTTTCCAGGAATAACAGAGCTATTAAAATGCGCGAACTCGCGTGGAAATCGCCACCCACTAACGCAGAGGTTTAAAATAGAATAATGCCTGGTGGCGACTTTCGGTGAGGTGAACATCGACATTTGCCGACGCTTACCCATTAAAATACAATATATCTTTCTAGGCCACAATCGGCCATATTTATTTGTGAACGTGGACGTGGTGGACGTGAATAGGAAAAAAAACAGACGTACGGTCCATGTCTCCCATTGATCCAATTTTTAAATTTTTTTTACATTTGACACATTTGTACTAAAGATCGGTTGTTTTGCCAAGTTGGACGTGAATAGGAAAAAACGGAGTACTGCGATAATGCCGTTTATCTTGAACCGTGAATACAAGTTTTTTATTCCCGAAAAAAAAAACCCGACTGTGTTGCAAATCCTGTTAACTGTTTGAAATGTCACAATGTCACACAAGGCTGTTCCCGTACAATTTTTCGGTCGGTCGGGCAAGAAAAAATGGCATTGGGTTTGTGGAGTGATTTTTGGTTCTGTTTTGAGGATATTTTCACTGGTATTTCAATTCAAGCTTTCTCTGTGATCTATTTTTCCGTGGTTTCTGATGTAAATTTACTACTTTTAACACCATGCAAGAAACTGGACAGTGTATTCCAAGTTTGTCTTTTGCGGAATTTTTTTCCCTTTAAATATTCATATAGTGTACACTCCTTTTTTCTACGAAACTTTTGAGATTTATCAATATTTTATTCCTCAGTCTGAGAGTCTAGTAATAACGTTTTTATTTTGCTCAATAAAAGCAAAGAGGCAAGTGAGTAATATGACAAGTAAGTTGATACCATATCACCGGGGAACCTATTTTAAAATAGGTTTCAATGGTTTGCTGGTCACGTCCGCATTAATAAATGAAATACTAGATGCTAACTTTTCACGCACAAAAAATCCTATGGAGTTGAAATCTTCTAAAGCAGTATACTTTATATTTTTCGATGTTCCTTTTCCTGGGAAGAGTAGTGATTTTGTAGGACACACGAAATTTGATTTGGGAATTTTATAGCTTGCCCAAAGGTTCGTCAATGTGGTTTGGACGGACCCGCCATCGCGGCAGCGATAGCCACCCAAACAATTTAAGAAGTGACCATAGGAAGACTGCAGAACACTCTTTTTTTTCTCAAAATTTGTCGCGAAATGCTTGCAGTGCGGAAGGAGATCTTCGCACGAGAGAAGTGCCGATATGTCCCTATCACCCCCCTGGTTGTTCCGAGTCCGGGGGGTGGGGTTTCAGTTGACTAGTAGATGGCGACTTTCTGATTATTACATATTCTATCTATTTGACAGAGAAAGGTTGAAACCTTTGAATCCTGGGAAGAGGAGGAGTATTCCCCTGGAGTTCCCCAACTTCCGAGGGGAGGTTACACTTACTTAAGCAAGGCAAGTGAATATGAAATGAAAAGAACTGAAGGCGATGTTTTAGGTTACATTGAATATGTGTCCTAACACTAATTCCTTAACCTCATTCTATTGTAATTAGGAGTCACAGCTACCAGTGAAGAACGTGGTTCACCTTACAATCTCGCCAGTCAAGACAAAAGCCCCAGTGAGGTAAAAAATGCCCATTATCTCCCTCAGTTTTAAATTTGAAAGACCTGGATTCATTGCTAACTATGAAAGACCTTGACAGCACATTAATTCTGTTAGATAGTCCTCTTGTAAGTACAATTCTGCAGCATTGTTGTTTCATCATCCATCGTCTAAAATTGCATGGCGGTTTCTTTCCATTTTCTCTCTCTCTTTCCATTCAGTTCATTGTCCTCCCAGTCGACCGCCTCATTCACCTCAACCGGACTGTATGCGTGTTCTGCCATAGTACTCGAAAAAAGACTACAATATATGCAAGCATTAATCCTGCCATTTTTTAAAAAAATTGCTTCGTTGCTGTGCCGTGCTCTAATTCCCAGGCCAATCTTCAACACCAGTACTGAATCTATAGAGAGTTCTATAAACAGTCACTGGTCGTTTACCACATTTTTATTATGTTGTTTGCAATTCCTAGTGCCGGCACAAAATCAAAGCCGTTGTGTATTCCCGACAACGACTCACACTCTGATGGGGGGCAATTATATAAACCCACTTCTTCAGCTCAGAGGTATTTTTATCATTATCCTTATCTTTGCCCTTTATCGTTATTGTTATCGTTATCATTATTGTTATCATAAGCAAGTAATAACATGTTATTTTTGCAACGTTTTGGCGACCTCATGACGCCAATATCAAGGATTATATAAATGGAAGCGATATCAAAAGAAGTCCAGGTCCTGTAAATTTACATAAATGAAGTCAAGCTAGATAAACTTAAGGGTAGATTGAATCTGCTTGCAAGTTAAGGCGTGGTCTAAACCTTTTCTTACGATAGCAAGCCCGCATTTCTCGTTCGTTTTCAATTGAAGAACTGCTGTGGATGCCTATGAATGCATTCTTTTCGCATGCTTTTAAGGAGTTAAGATATATATACTAGACACTTGATTCTTAGTTACAGTTAACTCTCTTGTTAGCCTCATCTTTATTGAGAGGTGGGTTAGTCTCAAATAATTTTGGGGTTGACAATGCCTTTATAGGAAGCTGAAAATTGAGGCGAAGAAGCAAAGAAAAATTACATTCTTATGTGGGCACGTGTTGCAGAGGAGACAGTGGGGCGGCTACCCGAGGGCATCGATGGATTAGAAGCTTATCATATAGAGAACTACCATGACATAGACGCCCTTCAAGATGGAAGAAAATGGAAAAAAAATTGTCCAACGGAATGGAAAGATCATGGGCGTACGCGTTACGCTGATTGCTGCAGCTCCTTTAAATGCACCAGGAAACGCTGTCCTTTTGAGACACAATATGGTGTAATAAACACCACCCAACTCGAAAGCAGAGGGGGGGAAACAAGTATGTAAAGGATGTGGCCTTGAAGGTATCTTTGTTCCATATAACGCGAGGTGGTACCTTTGTTATGAGGGAAAAGCAGTGAGAGTCCATCATTACGGGACGCACACCTGTCCTGTTACATCGAAAACGAAGAAAACCGCCTCAAAAGATGTAGAACAGTTGGTGAGAAACAATCCAAATATCAAGCCACCTGAAGTACAATCGGTGTTTGTACTTTCAGCGTTTCAAGAGCAGAGAGATTGGAGAGATGTTGAGAAAGCGGCTGCTTCTGCAATTGACAAGAAGTGGATATCTAACGTTAAAGAAAAGGTTAAGAAAGACATAGAACCCCACGGGCACAATTTCGAAGCCGTAGTCTCTTTCAAAGAATACTGCGACAAGAAAGACCTGTTTTACATATACAAAATTAACGACCGTAGAGGAAATTCGGACCAGCCATCGTTCGTTTTCAAGACAAGTTCTGTTAAACTTAACGTAGCGCTAAACATGGACTGCGATGGTGACCATTTCATGAACACTGAATATTGTTTCTTTGACGGAAAGCGGAAACGTTGCCGTGGGTTCGTCACTTTGTCCACCAGTGTGTATCATCCCCTCTTAAGGAAACAAATAACCCTGGCCACAATGGAGGCGGAAAGTGAAAATCATACAAACGTTAGATTGTTTTGGGATATATTGAACGAGTGCCTACGAAAAGTTTCTGGGAAGACAAACTACAAGTTCAACCCCGTTGGATGGTGTACGGACATGGCCGGGGCAAACTTGGCAGGATTGTCAGAGGTTTTTGGTGAAACTGTCACCGATCGCGTAAAAACATGCGAGTTCCACTTCAAAGATCACCGCAATAAAAACGCCCGAAAGCTAGACCCTGATATTGCAGTTGAGTTTAAGACACTTTGCGACAACCTTTTACTCAGCGCCACAGAAGGAGCATACGAAAGGTCAAAGGCCGAAATGGATGCATTTATTCCAGCAAAAGAGGAACGGTCATTCTTGACATCTTCGATATCTTGGTGGCACGCTAGAAGAGGATTCATTTTTCGTGCATTTGCTCCGCAAGGCGCGCCACAAATGAATCAAGCAGAAGTTGTTCACGCTGGATGGGCCCACAGGGACCGCCCCAATTTGTCAATGCTTGACGTTTGCCAAGCGGACACACAAGACTCGCTGTTACTAGACATTGAGCTGAGGAATTATCAGTCTGGTGCTGCCTCGGGGGGAAAAGGCCCATCGTACGCTGATCGAAAAAAAAACATCACTGTCGAGAAGTGATCAATAAAGCTAAGCGTCTAGGCCGCGAAATATTCCCAGATGAGGAATGCGGGCATTTGATTGATCCCAGCTCGGGCTACTGTCCGCAAGAAAATCGGAGAAAGAAGCAAAAGACTAAGCCTAAACCTAAAGAGCAATCGTCGCAGGCAAGTAGTACTATACCTTCAACTAAAGAGGATCGTAGTAATCCTACATTCTTGCCAGCTACCTCACTAGACAATTTAACACCAAACGTCCAACGCGGAGGCCTTTTTGTCCCCACAAACTCGGGCAGTGGAGGACAGACTACAGCACATCTTCCAAGTTTTAGCTCATCTGTCCCAAGTTGCGGAGCGTCCATGTTGTCTTATAATCCACCACAGCAGGAACTGACTTTTTGAAGACAAATAACCCCAACAGCACAAAACATGCAATATGGTGGTTTGGGTCAATCACCATTATTTAGTGGTGGAGGCTATCTTACACCGTCTATTCCCAGTGGGAGCTCAACATGTTCCCTTATGAAGCACCACAGCAAGGGTTGGCCTTTCATCAAACGGCCCCAGTAGCTGCGCAGAGTCTAGTTGGTAATGTTGCAACATGGCATTCAGGTATGTCGCCACACAAGTATGAGGTAGTGATCCTGAAACCCAGCGTAAAATGTTGCTATGGATGTGGAAATTCGTTCGCAGATAAGTACAGGAGCCCTCCTTACAATCTAGTTGTAAAGCACGTAGACAGGAGGGTCACGGGAAAAAATGACTTTACCGGACAGTTAATCTACAGCAAGGATTTCTCGAACACATATTACCACTTGGCAAAAAGTCACATCCAACGCAAAAATCCCACGTTCTCTTTACATTTCTACGGACCTATACCTTTCAGGTCTGGGCGAGGAACAACGTGCCATACTACAGTCTTGTGACTTAAAGCTACTGGTTCAGTAGAAGTTTACAGTGACGGCAGTTTGAGTCGAGAATAACTCCCGATACCCCTCCTTACTTTTCTTTGTTTATGTAAATGAATATACGTTTGATAGTGTTTCAGTTCTAAGTAAGACGCCTTTTATTAAAGCGGTTTTTTTCACACATGTAGATCGTCACAAATGAAACTGACAGTACTGATCTGGTCTTTTATGTCAAACAAAGAGGAAAATCAAAGTCTCTTTTGCTTAAAACTGGTATATGTTATTCTCACTTAAAAAGTTAATTTGGGCTCAGTCTGCTACAAAAGCCTTTTGACATCGAAAGGAGCTACAATCGTTATAAAAACTCAAAGAGTGTACTATTGAGGACTCCCCGGAATTAAAGTAGGATTGATTTCTAGCTGTTTTTCTCCGGTCCGATCTCCTCTCCCGAACAGTTGCTGGTAATCGAGCCTTCTCCGTAAGGCAATTGACAAGAAATGGATAGAACAAGGAAAGTTTTTTTTCACTAACAGGTTTACCAGCCAGTTATCTTTAAAAATGACCAGGAATCTCACGATATTTTTAAGCATCCTGTGACTGCAAGGCATTTTAGCCAGGCCTTTGGTAAACACAAAATCTAGCACCAGCTTGTGGTAACAAAATTTTTCAAAGCGAACTGTTTTTTTTTTCCGCAAAAAGGCCCATTCATTTACACGCCCAAACGAGTAGAAACGGCACGCCACGCCATATGGCATGCCTCTTTTCGAGAGTATGTTCCCTTCGATAACTTAAAGAACAATGGACCATTTTAGTAGAACTTCTTATCCGAAGACGAAGAAATTAGAAAAGTTCTCGAGGGAAGTGAGGGGTTGGAGTTGGAAAATTTTTTTCCTTTTCGGCTACCATTTTCTACCATTAGATCCCGTAATTGTAATACCAAGAGTTTTTGAAACATGACAAAGTGACGAGATTTAGGACTGTATATCCTCCACTGATAGCTGTCCTGAGATTAATGGCCTCCCTCAAATAATACGTCCCCCAACTTAAGGGAAACTAATATGAAACACAATGGAAAAATATCTCGCTGGAATCGCTTTATAAATTCACATTAAGATGTAACACTGTACCCTCTAGACGTTGTTATCGAGTCCCACTGAATGGCAATGTAAGGCAGATTCTTGTTGGCAGGGCCAGAAATTCATAATTCAAAGTACGCATTCTTGTTTGACATTTTAATTTTTAATTTTTTTTTAAATTTTTTTTTTGGAATCAGTGTTTTCAAGTAATGTGTTCTGTTCGTGGTATTGGTTTCCGGGTGTTACAAATGTAATTCTTCGAAAACAAATTGGGATGTCCCGGGGCTTTTCTCTATTCCACCCCCCCCCCACCCAATAACTAGAAGATGTTCACGCGCCATTTGTTTTTTTAAATTCTTCTTTTTTGTTTTAATGACATTGATTCCATCGATTATTACCTTTTCCAAAAAAAAAAATTGGGAAAAAAAGAATGTTACCCTCGACATGGTACCCTCGCGTGGACATCTCCATCCATATCAGCTCTACTTGTTGGGTTGGGAGGGGGGGAACAGAACACGTTACCTGATAAAGGGAATTACAAAATAACAAATAAAGGATATGCGGCTAACCTAACCCTTCTAACTTTTCCCAGTTTTTGGCTAGGCGGACCGACCCATCTTCATGAGATGGAGGCGATGAAAAACGAAACATATTATTTTATTGAAAGTTCACATAATTGGTCTGCTTCGATCTGATCGCTGTTCGTGAATAAAAGCTCTCCTTTTCATGCAAAATAGGAAATAATCGCTGAAGCCGTTGTGAAGAAAGTTTTTGCGCAGACACCTCTGATTTCTGTTTGCAATAAAGATGTGTACAAAATTAGTTTCGCCACATGACTTCCTATTATCCCACTGCCGCCATCAACTGCGCCGATAAGTGTTGGTTTTGCGTTCCTTTTGTGTTTCAGGGTATTTCAAATTTCTGCAGTGATACACTTTTTAAGGTGCAGAGCATAACGTTGGTAATTGAAGGAGTTTATTATTGCGGCGCGACTCGGGCAATAGCATCAACCATCTAAATATTATCAGTCTAGCTACGCACCTACGTACCGGAAATCGTGACCTACGCACCTACGTACCTAGGTCACGATTTCCGGTATCGGTGATTATCGATGACTTGTATTTTAAAATTTCATGGCGAGTTTCTACTTCATTGAAAGCACGACAATTCGGTCGCATACAGTGGGATAGCTTAAAAAACAAGAATTGGTGAAATATCCATATTCAAACTACCCCACTGAACAGTCAAGAAAGGCAGAGAAGAGGCAGATGTGACTGAAATATAAGCCGAAGCGGGGGCACCAAACCACAGTTTCCTCCTAAGTGCATTGAAAACACTTCTCGCTTATCCAGAGTACTTTCAAATCTTTAGAAATGCATTCTAAGAGGCGCTATAAAAGTTGTATCTGTTCGGTCGTCCTAGCAACTTTAATCTTTCGAAACCACTTAGGGCCTCAGTATTATTTTCCCGAAAATTTTAAATGCAATTTTAGGTTTTACGAAAGTGAGAATTTTTCTGATTCCTCTCTCCATCGCATTTTCGACTGCGAAAATTTTAGATTTCCTTTTTCTACGAAAAATAGGCTAACTTGGGGACTGAAATGCGAAAAACTAAACCCTAGAAAGTTGTTGGGAATTAATTAGATAAGCTACGAAAACTGTACATGACTGTACATGAATGGAACGGCCGTCTAGGACATCTAGAAATTTTTAGTAACAGAAAATTGTAGGCAATTTTTGCTTCTCCGAACAGATATTTAACAGAAAACAGTCGTTCGGTGCCCCTGCCTAAGCTCTATGACATTTTTTTTTAGGCACAACCTGTCTACCTTCACAGGAAGGGAGAAGGTTCTTTACTTTTAAGCGAATTCGAATGTCCACGTACTATTCTGATTAAACAACAACAACAACATCACATTTTCTTTATGGATGTTCCACTCCCCCCCACCCAACAACTAGAATTCTAATAAATTCTACTTATTTGATTGCATCGATTTTACCTTTTCAAAAAAAAAAAATGGGAAAAAAAAATGTCACCCTTGACCCTCGACATGGTACCCTCGCCCTCGACATGGAACCCTCGACCCTTGACCCTCGACAAAAAATTGATTACCTTTTAAAAAAAAATTGGAAAAAAATGTTACCCTTGACCCTCGACATGGTACCCTCGCCCTCCACATGGAACCCTCGACCCTCGACAAAAAAATAGACTCGTTACACGCTTTCGGCGATGCAAGCACACGGGGAGTAGGAACTAACGTTTACGCTGTGATACAACAATCAAGTGGAACTATCCAACGTCTGGTGGCAGCCAGGGGCCGGCTAGCTAAACAGGGACTTACAGTGCCTCGCCTGGGATTGATCTCCGCCCACATAGCAACAAACCTGGTGATTAATTTGAAGAACGCGTTAAATGACCTACCCAGCCCAAGAGTCTATGCCTGGTTAGACAGCACAGTTGTATTACACTGGATTGGCGACAACGGAGAGTACAAGCAGTTTGTGAGTAACCAAGTTGAGAAGATTCACCAGCGCCCTGAGATCGAATGGAGACATTACCAACACGTGATAACGCAGCTGACTTAGCAAGTAGAGGAGGAGGAATTACTAGTCTATGGCTGAATGGGCCTGAATGGCTTTCGAACAAGGAAAATTGGCCCCCCAATCCAGTGACGTCTGCGTCAGCAGCCACAGAGGAAGAAGCTAAGGTGATCAGGGAAGTGCTTAAAACCAGCCAAACTAAAGATTCGGTTGATGTCATGGATCAGCTACTGGAGA